TTGAGTTTTTTAGTATTTCAAAATCATTACCAAATCAAATGTTCATTACATCACAAATTACAATCTCACAAATCACCTAGCACAGCACAATGCCAAGAAGTTGTGAAACAGACGGCAATCAAAACGTCAAATAAAAACGGGAATTATAGCACAAAATAATATTTCAAAACTCTTGATAATCAAGAGAAATACTAAAGCCTTTAAAACCCTTTATTGTTATAGCAATTGGCGATAAATAACAAACTTATGGCTGAACTGAAAAACACTATAAAATATTTACCGATAAAAGTTACACAACAAGTGATAAAACATGTTTGCATAAAAGTTGTGCGTTTGGGCGATAAATGCCTCATTACTTGCGCGAATAAATTAACAACGAGTTGAGTTTAGTCTCTGGGAATATCACAAAAAGCTATACCAACAACATAAAGCATGGAGTTGGGTCAGCGTCAGCCCGATCTACGAGACACTCCCGGTTTCATATGGAAAAAGTGGCTTTTGTTCACATTTTGCGCGATTGTCATCGTTGTGACCATAATTATGGCCGCATTGGCCGATAAAATGTTCTCCGATTTAGTCGATGACACTGTCAAAGACAAAGTAGATCCATCAATTGACGTTGACGTGGACAAGATAACTGATGCCACTAAAGTATGACAAACACACTAGTGATTGATCATGAATATTTATAATACTAATTGCCCCCTTTTCACCCCGGACTTATTATAGACATTGATGAAAGTATTCATCTACGTGGTGGCGGCCATTGCCATCTTGTTCAATTTGTTGGGTCTGTTTGGCGCGTATAAAGAGCACTACTGCATGACAGTGACCTACGCTGTGCTCATGACGATCGCCACCGCCATCTCCATCGGTAACGCCATTCAGAATTCGTACTTTTGGTGCAATTTTGTGCTCTACCTACTCGTCACTATACTGTCCTATGCCTTCGCGTGGGATCTACACAAACGGCGCCGACAACTGTTCGCCAATCCCACGCCCATTGTTATACAGACCGGTGCGCCCGCCGGCTATGTTGTACAACAACCCTATGGCCAACAGCCATACGGCCAACAACAGCACGACGCTGGAAAGCGATACGAGTGATACAACTCATTGATTTAATTTAGTTTCAATTCATTTTTACTATTTATTCATTCATTTAATTTAAGATTATTTTTGTGGATTTTTAATTATTTTTTTTTGTTAATGAAATAAAAATATTTCTCATATATTTTTGGTTTTGTTGTAATATTTCCCGGAATATTAATCGCGTTGTTTCTTCATTAAGTGTGATATCTTATCTATTTGTTGGTTATTATGTGTGAGTGGGAGAGAGAGAGAGAGAGAGAGAGAGAGAGAGAGATTAGGAGAGAGAAAACAATTCAAAGTCTGTGTTAATTTTTTGCTGTGTTATCTCTCGGTAACTAAACAATAAGAAAACAAAATTGATAAAACAAAAAAAACTCTAACCGACCAAATAATACCCACGTTTAGGTGTGTTATAAGTATTTGGTGTTTGTTTAAGAGCCAACCCAATGGACAAACACACAGATATCCGCTACACCACAGCGTTTCGCGTGAAGAAATGGATCCTGTTCACATTCTGCTGCCTGTCCATCGTGGGCACCATCATTATGGCCGCACTCGCCTCCACTATCGTTGACCATTATGTCGACCAAAACTCAGATCAGTTTAACGATCTCACCATCGATGAGAGACAACGCCTTAAAGTGAGTGTTAAATATAGGCATAAGAAAAATGTTAACAAACAAAATGATTAATAAATTATTTGTACACAAAACAAATGCTCAGTCGATGGCCAAAGTGGTGATATACGTGTCGACCGCATACGCCATACTATTCAATCTGTTGGGTCTGATGGGCGCCTATAAGGAGCACTACTGCATGACCGTCACATACGCCATCCTAATGACCCTGGGCACTTTGGGCTCCATCGGCACCGCCATCCAGAATCCATACTACTACACGAACACGGTCATTTATTTGTTGGTCACGATACTGGCCTTCGCATTTGCCTACGATCTGCGCCGCCGTCGGCTCATCCTATTCTCCGCACCCATAGTCATAAGCCCAGTGCCGGCGCCCACCGTCGACGCCATACCACTCACACCTCCGCCTCATTACCAGAAAGAAGACGCCGGCAAACAGTACGCGCCGGTCGCCCAGTCGGAGGACATACCGCCGTCTGAAAAGCACCGCTCGTACGCCGCTGTGGTTGCCAACGATGAGGAGGGGGCGCACGACGGGGCCCATGACGGTCATCACAACGATCACCATCATGAACAGGGCGGCCACGAGCCTCATGAGTGAATTTTTATTTTGTATTTTCCATATTGTATACCATTTTTACTAATAAATCAATCATTTTTAATTGAGTGCTTTTATGATGGTTGTTTTTGGTTTAATATTAGTTATTAATAATAATTATAAACATATTATAAAATTAGTTTGGTTTTGCAATTTTCTCGGAAGTTTGAATAGATTTATGACAATAAAGGGTTTTGATTTTTATTATCTTTTGTTAACACTTTAGATATAGAGTGCAGAAAAAGTTAATGGTGTTTGACATGAATATCAGATATAAGTTTTTGATGGCTTTAATGGCATATAAAATGTTAAGAGTTTGGTTTGTATGATAAAAAAGAACATAAAAGTCACTCATTTCCTATTATTAGGAAAATGATTACATTTATTATCTGAAAAATGAATTGATTTTCTCTACTAATGTATCGATTAATATAAAGCGATTCTTATAATGATTATTGTGAAAAAAAATTCTGCGAAATTAGGCATTCATAGACTATTACACATCAATTATTGAGACTATATATGATTATAAAAGAAGTTACCTTAAAGTAATTTTAATAATAATGTATCGTATTTAGTATTAAATTAAATTCTTTATTCATTGAACATGGTAAAATAGAATATAAAAAGTGAAAATAATGTGTCAGAAGTGGGATTCGAACCCACGCCACCCGAAGGTGACTGCGACCTGAACGCAGCGCCTTAGACCGCTCGGCCATCCTGACTGTGCTGATACTCCACCGCTTATAATGCGGTTTTGCATCGACCCTGGCACATTTAATTGGGTTAATGCTATTTAATTGCTATATAATCTACGCTAAGTATGTAACAACTTGTGTAGCATTTGTGTGATTAGTTTGATTTGTTCATTTAATTGTAATTTAAGCTTGGTGTAATAAATAGTAGTTTAGTAACTTTGTTTTCTATCACATTTACTAATGTTTTTTGTTTTATTAGTTTTGAAATTATTTTGTTTATAATTTAATTGATGTTTATTTGTAACACATAAAAAGTTTATGCATTTATTTTTAGTGAATCTCTTTTGATAGGAAAATGTTATATTTGAGAATCCTTTGCATAATTTAAAACAAATAAATAAAATGTTATATAATTTGTATATTTGTGTTACAGGTTTTGTGAGGCAGTTATAAATGGGTTTTAAATGTATAACAGTTTTCTTTCAATTATAAATATTTATTTTAAAAACAATTTATAAAACTTATTTCCTGACAATCCATACGATATATACAAGTGTTTCACAGAATATGCGACACAAAAGTGCCTTTAAATTGATATTCACTTAACGTTTGCAATAAAAATATAAAAACATGTTTATTTTTAAATACATATACTGTTAATAACAGTTTATTATACAACTATAATATCAGTGAAAATCTATGCTTGAATTGGGATTAATTTCAATTGATATGTATATAAAAAAGATTAGCGTAAAAGTAATTCAAATAACAGTGAAAGTGATTGTAATGTAATAAAAATAGGAAATAAAATATTATGTGTTATGTTTTTTACGACAACTATTATATAATATTAATGATATTTAATGTAAAATTAATGCAAATACACAATTCGTAAGTGAATTAATGTATGAGAGAGAGAGAGAGAGAGAGAGAGAGATTAGGAGAGA